GCTACAGCCCCCATTTTGGCCTAGGCCTACCTCCATGTAACTCTCCGTTTCACTTCAGTTTAATAGATCTTCTGTATCATCTTTATCTTCATTATTTGAGTCCTATGTCACAGCCAGTTCTATTTGTTTCTGACATCTGACAACATTTGTACCGTCATCTGCCTGTTGAGACTTGTGTTTGAATAGTCATACACACACTACACAATTTCACTTGCTTTTTCATGCAAAATTATACGTTTACTTCCTTCCTCATCCATTTATTTAAACATTTATCCCAAAACAAATCACATTCCTACCACACACCATCACCTGACACTGAATGATGCTGGCTGCAGTGACAATCACTGTGATGGCACATGATAGCTCTTGGCATGGTGTGTAGATTTACAGCCCACCACTTTATGTGCTCACAACTCTAATGCTTTATGTCCTGACAGAAAAGAGATTACATGGTTAAGGATTTTTTTTAATGCTAGTGGGGTGGGATTAAGTCCCTTGTACTGTGGCCCCTTCTGGCCTATTCTACCAGCCCCAGATGATAGGTGAGGGTGATTGTGGAGCAATTGGTGGAATGAAGATTGGCAGAGGAAACCGAAGTACTTGGAGAAAACCCACCCCAGCGCCACTTTGTCCACCACAAATCCTGCTTGACCAGACCCGGGATCGAACCTGGGCCGCCATAGGGTGACGTCAGCGCTACGATGCCGCCACATACCGCTGGGGAGGGCAGGGTTGCCCTCCATTGCGAAACACATCACACTGCTCCCTCCTTAAGGCTGTTCGTCCCGAATAGCCTAACGGTGCACCCCAGTTCCTTTTCTTCAAATGATGGCTTTCTGCGTCTCCTGTTGTTTCGACTACTCCTTGCAGCGACTGTTCTCCGGCCATTATGTCCGCTCCCCTCCTAAGACTTGCTCGTCTCGAGCGGTTTCCTTTCAATTTGCCAGAAAATCCAGTTGTGTTACATTCATTCCTTCACTTTCTCCCATTGCACATTCACTCTCTGGGGAGGCCGGTGCTTCTATTTTATCGGCTCCTCTACTGTGCTCTGCTTCTTTTTCATTTCGGAGGGGGTCGACCCCTCCACAAGGTCCAATTCTTGATCATTGCTTTCTTCAGAAATTTCCTTTGTCGACGTAATGGTGTGGCCTGCACTCGCTGATGTTGTTGTTCTTTCTGGTCTTCCAGCCGCTTGCTGGTACGAGACCGTGGTGCCAAGTCCTTTCTCCGGTATCCGAAGGTTCCCTGGGGAGTTTCCTTCTTGAAGGCATTTCTCCAACGTCATGCCACTGTCGCGCGATGGGATATCTTCCTGCAGGTGGCAGCCAACTTCATCCAGGATACATAATCTCCTCGGGTCCAAGAATTCCTGAAGATGTTCCTCCTACGCCATGCCACTGTTGCATGGCGGGACACCTTCCTGCTGTTTTCCTTCTGCCGTTCCTCTTTCGCATGGAGGCTCGTCCCTCTGCGGGCTACGGCCAACTTCTTCTGGGGTCCACAACTTCCCCATGTCGGATTCTTCATTTTTCTCTGATTTCAGTCCCTACACCTTTTCTTCTTTGGTTCTCCAGCCGTAATTATAATTACTTCTTTTACGGGTACCTCTCGTTGTTCTGCCACCTCAGGTTTCCTGTCCACTGAGGCCGGCTGTTTTTCACCTGGATGTACTTCCGTTTCTCGGCAGGCCATCGTCACTCCGACCGGTGTCACTATGGGGACCTCTCCTCGTTGTGCCATCCTTGCTTGGGTTGCTCTCATCTCCGCGGCAGTCTTTTCTCACCAGGCGTGTCTGTCATCCTCCATTCTGTCTAGGAGTTCCTTGTGGCTGATCTCTGCCTTTTCTTGACAGGAGTCTAATTTGGCCATTAAATCTTCTTTGTCTTTGTTTCTATTGGCCTCCATTTCGTCCTTCTCATCCTTCCTATCGGCCTTCATCTCTTTCAGCATTTCCTCTTTGTCAGTCTTCCTATCGGCATCTAATTTTGCCAGCATGATATTTGCTCTTTCTTGATTGGATTCTAATTTCGCCAGGAAATCCTCTTCCATCTGCACTCGGTCGGCATCGGCTTTTACTTGGTAGGCCCTCGTCTCTTTCAGAAGTTCCAACATCTGCTGTGACTCCATTTTTGTGGCAGTATAATAGTCGAAGCACTCGTAAGTTCAATTATTCGTCGAGGCGTGTTGAAGTTCATAAACAATTCTGACACCAGTGAAACGTGTCTTGAGTTTGAATCCTGTCGGTCACGTGTGTAAGTCCAATCGCACTTCTGACACCAGTGTAACATGTTTCGTTACTGAAGACACCATTCGGATTGTTAATTGATTTATTCAACAACCTACAAATCTCGGCTACAATTAATTACAACGCTGTTGCGGGGTTTCACACTTTATAACCCTATTCACAATCTGTTCACCCTGTCTTCAGTAGTCTACACATATTCACAGTACAGGAGCTATACAAGTCTCTCTGTATTACACACTCCCAATTACACAATTACACACAAGTCCGGTTCTTCTTTCCACGACGGCTGCTATATTCCAACTCAACTTCTAACTGCTCACTGCTGGCTAGAGAACTGTCCTTGGCCGCTGATACACTTTTACTTGTTCACTGCTGACTGGAAAACTGTCTTCGGCTGCTGATACACTTTTAACTGCCTCTGGGGACGGCTACACGTTCACTCCCTTCGGCGGGTGTGCAGTTCCCTTATATAGCTGCAGTGCTTGCCTGTTACGTAATGAGTGCCGCTGTTGCCAGGCGCCGTGTCGTCACCGCAGGGAGAGGGGCGGGGTGTTGACTTGCCTATTACCATAGGGTGATGTCAGCGCTACGATGCTGCCACGTACCGCTGGGGAGTGCGGGGTTGCCCTCCATTGTGCAACACGTCACAATATATTACACTTCATGTATTACATTATGCACATTATACATTAATATTATACATGGTCTTTCTAAAAGACAGTCCAATTTAATTGCATAGAATAACTAAGTACAGTATCTGACATCACTGTATTTGGTGTCTCTGTGTTCAGTGGTCTTGGTAGAACTGACAGTCATGTAAACACACTTTCAGTATGTGCACCATCTGCAGCCATCTGATGGTGGAAGTTTCACACAACTGCAGCTAGTGTTTCTTCACAGATGCTGATGACTGCTGACAGAAATTATTGTTTCAATTCTTGTATTGTGTGTGGATTGCTTCTGTAAGCTGTATCTCTAAAAACGCCCCATAAAAAATATTCACATGGGTTAAAATCTGGAGAGTATGATGGCCTGGCCCACTCAGGAAAATGAGTATACAGCACATTGCCACCAAAATGCTCTTTGAGCACATCCAATACTACATTCACAGTGTATGGCCAAGCCCCATCTTGATTAAAAGATAAACATCCAAAACTGGCAAGAGATCGAAGAATTTCTTCTTGGTGAACATGGAGATAATGATCAGCAGTCACAGTATCATCAAAGAAAAGTTGGCCAACAATACCACCTTTTGGCAGAGCACATCATGCTGTTAATTTTTCTTTGTGTAATGGTGTCTGCATTATGTCATGTGAGTGTACACTATCCCATACATTCCTGTTCCACTTGTTCATATAGCCATTCAAATGAAAATGGGCCTCATCATTAAGCCACATCCTTTGGGGTACTGCAAGAGTATCCTCCAAAAACATCTTAAAGTCACTACAGAAGTCGACTTCCTAGCTTTATCAGCCTTGCAGTTTCACATCTTCTCAAATTATCTTTTATGTTGATGAGGCTCCCAAGTCAAGTTGTTGAGAAGGACATTTTACAGATGTCTTGGGACTCTGCATCAGTGCCTGCTCAGTACAATGAAAGTTTTCTGGTGTTCTGACAGACAATTCCCCTCATGTTGTAGAACATGCTTCCAGTTGTAAGTTTTGAGGTTTTCACGGCGATGACAATGAAGAAAGTTGTCTTCTGGNATGCTTTTCTGCACCCAAATTTCACTAGGAATTCATGGTAAATAATGATACCACTAGCGACCTCTTAAAATTTTTTCACCAAAATTACACTTTCCTGCTGAGTATGCAATCTTGATCACTACTACTTCATGATGTAGCCACCATGAGCATCACATTCTCCCAATACTGCTGAACTCAGTGATGCCAAGTACATTGGTGTTTTCTCTGTCATTACATAATTGCATGCAGTTATAACTGGAAAAATATTCTGTATATTATACATTGCATGTTATATGCAATATTTAAAAATGTTCAGAACAAAATTTATAAAACTTAACATACAGCATTATCCTGTAGATGAGTAGGTCTCTATATTCTGGCAAATACCATCCTTGTTAACTTTGAACCATTTCTGAAATAATAAAGTTTAGTTTAATGTAAATTGGTGATTGAACTGATATGGCTGAAACAAAATACAGAGATATTGGGTTTTCAGACTTTACCCATCGTCCTGGTTTTAAGATAACTAAGAAAAACACGACGTTTCGGAAACTAAATCTGTTTCCATCCTCAGGTGAGGGCAAACACCTATTCTGTTGGGTCCCTTAGAAAGAGCTAGCCTCAATCACTGGTCCAGTGTGTTATACACTATCATCAGAATCCTATAGTAACTACTGAAACAAAATGTTTGGGACAACTTTTGGTGCATACCTGCAGTTTTGTATTCATTTATGATGCATTTGACAGCACTGACTGTAGCTTGAGCTATATGGAGTTGAACGATGGGTTAATTAATGAAAAATAAATTATTAGAATAGGGAAAGAAGAATCAGTGGCCTAATTGGAGGCACTATGCTAGAATTTGCGTGGAGGGATGGAGGAAAATCACAAAAATCTTAAGTCACAATATCCAGACTCTGGGCCGAGATTTGAACATGGGATTCCTGAGTAGAAAGCAGGAATGCTACCTACTCATCAACATTCTTTATTTAATTGAAATCTGTTGAATAATTTTAGAGACGAAATGTATGAACGGACAGAGAGACTTGACCTTACAATCATATATTAATTTTATACAGTTCATGCACAAAACATGTAAAAAGTCTTCTTCAGTACTAAAATATATACCACAGGAACAAGGTGATGGAGTGTGTCTGTTCTTTCACATGTATTCTGTACAAACAAAAGTGCCTCTTCTTTACCCAGAATGTGGTTGCCTTCCATGTCAGTATTACAGTACAGAGTATCCCAGAATAATGTTACCGCATTGTGACTGTTCATTTGCTTTATTCAGATTTGTAGTTCATGATTTGGTGCTAATGACACATTTTGAATATCTCCAATAAGAAAGAGCTTGACAGCATTTCTGTACTACCATCTGAGCTTGCTATTTTAGTTACTACTATTAATGTGATGTAAATAAAGGATAAAATCACATGAGAAATGTGGTTAGCATTATTCTGGGATACATTGTATGCAGTAGCTAAAACCTTAAAGAAGGAATGAGACTAAAATTAAGAAATTCTAGTGTAAACATTATTAAGAAAGGAACGATAATTTAAAACACATCTAAAAACTTCCACAGTACTTGTACATCACTTAACATCCATGGATGCCATATATATGGGTAAAAGTACTAAATAAATTTCACAGTATCTTCTGAGTGCTCTGTGTTAGTTCCACATTAGAAAACAGGGAACTGAAAATTATATTTTTATTGTACACTGTATATACAGAAGTAACCTTCCTGCCATGGGCCTAATAGAGAATTCCCAAAGATATGACATTTACCCTATACTGTTAGCATATATGGTAGTCACAACTGTTAGTTTTGATGTAATTCAAATCATATTCCCCAATTTATGCTTTTAATTGGATGAGTAAACTTTAACTTGAATCTACATTCATATGTTTTGCATCCTGTTGTGCATGTCGCTACTATATAAATTTTTCCGTCGATCACAACACTTCCAGTAAATAAGTGATAGGCTCAGATGTTGATAAAATCAGTTAGTTTATTAAGATGCTATTTTTTGCTGCATGTTTTGGTCATTTATGACAATCATCAGGCATTTATAACAGTAACCGGAATGCATGTCACAAATGTATTCCCTGCTTGTCTTGTACAAGTTTTTGTATAGGATTACAATATTTAAATATATTTAAATACTTATCTAAATTAATAAAGCTTATTTTAGAATTATCCTATTACATACGGGTTTTTTTATGGGTGGAATGGAGAATGGTGCATAGGTATATGTGTTATTGAACCTTGTCCTTTGTGGGGCTGTGGCTGTTATATGAGTGTGCATTGTTGGTGCTGATGGTTGCATGTGTGTTGTTTTGGGTGAAAATGGAGTATTTTGAATTTTTAATCCTTTGGTATGATGTTGAATATTATGCGAGTGATACCGTCTTAAGTTTCAATTACTATATATTGTAATATTGATGAGGACAGCATCCATATCCAGGGTGAAGAATGGGTACGTGTTATGCATATCACTTTTGCATACATTGTAATAGATGGTGGGGCACGTGTTAGTGTAGTTGGTTGAGGCACTATGCTACAAACCGGAAGGTCGCGGGATCGAATCCCGATGAGGTGGATTTTTTTCATTTTATCTAATCCTTCCAGCCGCACTATGGTCCTGGGGTCAACTCAGCCTCTAACAGAAATGAGTACCAGGAATATTCTTGAGGGGTAAAGGGCGGCCGGCGCGTAAGGCTGACAACCTCGCCGCCATCTTTGAGCCGATTGTCTAGAAAATGTTGGAACCTCAACATCTCACAACCCTGTGGGCCTCCACGGCCTGTTTCAGGGATACCTTTACTTTTTTTTATAGTAGATGATTTATTGGCGGAGTTCAGAAATTCTAGATCCAAGAAAGCTTAGCGTTATGTTATGTAATTGGGAATGGATTACTGTAAATTAGATCTTGCTTCTGTTTACTGTGTTCTGATAGATTACATACTGCATTTTAGATACATGTGTAGCAAAATGTTATTCAGCTGTGTGTACTATCGGATAAACTAAAACAATTACTGCACTATGTGGTTTCTTATTTTTGCAGGTGCAAGAAGTGTTGATGTAGGAGATGTTTCTGAAAGAAGGAAGCTAAGAAATACATTAAACTGTAAAAGCTTCCGATGGTATCTAGAGAATGTATATCCAGAATCACAGATGCCTTTGGACTATTATTATCTTGGTGATGTATGTGTGGACAGCACTTAATCATTTTCTTCTTTTCCTTCTAACATTGCTTCTGTTTAATGTCAGTGCTTTCCTTGCTTTGTATATCTGGCTGAACCATCTTGTTCTTTGTCATCCCATAGGTCTCTTTCCTATTAGTGTAAAGCCCTCAGTGTCCTTGTTCTGTCTATTCATTTCACAAGGTCACACTGCTGGAGTCTTATGTAGTCTTTGAGAATAACAAAACACCCATCATTTGATACATTAAGAGTATGTAATGTAATGTAGTTGTGTTTGCTGTTGATGTATTCCAAATTATAGACAGACCATAAGTCATTTCAACAAGTCAATCTGCAATTATGACAGGCAGCTTATTGCCAGGAATATTATTATGAGGGACCATCAAAAAGTTCAGAAGGCATGTAAAGTAAGCATAAATTTATCCCTGGGTTTAATTAATTATGTACCACACCATAAAGACATATAGGGGAGTGGAGGTATAGATCCACCATTCTTGACTGCAGCACTAGATGGAGGTGAGTGCTTCATGTCAATGCTGCTTTACCACCAAGGAAACAGCCCCCATTGCCCAGTGTATAGGAGGCTTGGTGGGCCTCAGAGCCAGTCTGGAATTCATGGAGCAAATGAAAGTCTCTAGCCCCTAATGGGAACTGGACCCTAACTCCTCAGTTGTTTAATAGGCACATATGTGGCTATATAATCTGACAAGTCAAAGATACAGTGAATTACTTAGAGATCTTAAAAGCACATATTTATAAGTAATTCACTGTATCTTTGACTAGTCAGGCTACATAGTTCCCATTGGAGACTGAGACACTTGTGTATACCAGACCCTTGAGGGACATAACCTGTTGTAAGTCTGAGGGCCGCTTGTGTTATCATGTGGCAGAACTTGTGAGTGGAGTTCGGAAATATTGACTGAAAATTCTGTATATCATAGAGAAAGAGTTGGTAGGGTCTGTACATGATGGATCTTTTGGAACAGAAACACTTCAAATTACTCTACCTCTGCAGCATTTATAAAAAAGAATCATAATATTGCCATAGTGTTAAAAGGAAGTCGGTACAAAAGTAGATGAGTTTCAAAGTTTTCACAGTTTGTCTTCTGGAATGTAGCCTGGTGGAAGGTTACTGATGTTTCGAAGAATAAGCTTCTTCTATATTCATGAATCATGATAGAAGCAGCAGGTGCTTCTGAAATATCAGTGAACTGTTTTGATAAATCTTGTGGGTATCACACAGTTTAACCTTAAAGATCAAACTTTCATTGTGTGCTGAAGTGGATTGCTGTGACATTCTAATGTATTTTGATGCCTAGTATATATTGATGCATAACTGGCTACTAATACATGTAATATAATTGAGAATGGTATATTGTTAGTGAACCATGTTACATATTTCATTTGTGACACACAGAACAAAGTTCCTTCAAGTTTCTCAGGACAGTCAGGGCTACCACTTTTATGAAGACCTCTGAACTATTTTATCTTAAGATTATGTATAGTCTTCTGAGATGTGACACTGTGTAGTTGGTTGATAAGACACCAACACTTCAGAGGGTCCTGCTTCTGTTATTTTCACAGTAGGAGGAGGTACTGGATTCCTCCAAAATATTGGTATCTATCTCCCAAACTACACAGCGTCACATCCCATAAGGCCATAATCATAATATTCATATGAACCTTAAATCTTTTATATCTTAAAATATTCACTAATTAAAAAACTGAAATGTCAGTGACAAAAGTTGTGGACTTCTGTGAAATAGGTATTCATACTACAAGAACTGTTATTACATTTTATTTGTAGTTTCAAGAATATACTTAAAAATATTTAGGTCACTCTTCTGCCAAAAATAATGCAGAAATATTGAAATAAGTGAATGAAATATTTTAATTATAGTGCCTTAGCTAATAGCAACACCATACTTCAAAAGTATGTCTTGATGAAAAATTAAGAGTCTGAAGGAAGTAGGCTGGGAAACAATAAACTGGATTCAGTTGGCTCTGGATTTGTGGGTTCCATAAAAATTTGGAAGTTTCTTTAGAAGCTGAGCATCTGTTAGCTTCTCAAGCGGAACTGCTACACGGAGATGAAATACAAAAATTTGTTATTCCTTTTTTGTACAGAGCAGAAAGTAATATTTGCTAGATTCTTAAATGAGTAAGCTATACACTGCTTTTGGTTACGACAGACTGCAGCTTCCAGAAGTGTTTTATCACTTAAAGACACCCAGATGGTGCTTGTATGAATAACAGAGAAAATCAGGGAGTAAAACCCAGTGTCAGGAATTATACTTCAAACAGACAAAAGTGGATTGTGGCTGGAGAAGCAGGATTGCACTGTCAGCTTGGTCACTCGAAGTGGGAGGAAGAATATTGTCATAGAGACTGCTGAGTGATAAAATGGTAGGTTGGCCACGCCATAGCTCAGGTAGTTAGTCACTGGCTTCCCACCACGGTGGCCAGGGTTTGATCCCAGTGTGGTCAAGTGGGATTTGTGGTGGACAAAGGCACTGGGGTAGGTTTTCTCCGAGTACTTCGGTTTCCCCTGCCAATCTTCATTCCACCAATTGCTCCATCGTCATACTCACCCGGTGCAGGTACAATAGGCCAATCAGTGGCCGTCATGCTGAGTGGACCCAGTTGGACTCCACCCCCCACTAAGCGAATTTAAACAAAAAAATGTTAGGTTTAGGATGGAAATGGAGAGATTTTATTGTGATCCAGTCCATGCTGATAATGACCCAATAAATTAATTCCGTAAATCACATTGTGAGTAGAGAGCCTTTTTCACAAGTTCTTAGAGTCAGTTGTGCTTTGAGAAATTTAGAGTATTTACATTCTGTTTTAAATCTGTTTTTTGTTATGTTTGTAATTGCATGATGAAGTAAACAGTAGGAAAGTTGCAAACAAGGTGTGTATTAACTTCACCATATCTGTCTGTCTGCAAGCAGTAGCTCAAGAACTACAAAACTTATTCTCATGAAACTTAGTATTGAGGAGTTTTACACAAACTTGCCAACACCTTCTGTTCAGTTTTGGTTAAAATAGAACCACTATGGTAACAGACTCTTTATATCATGTATCTTTGCATGCATCTTGAGTGTAACTTCTTCAGTATTAGAGCAAAAACTATTTGAGATGAAAGTTGTATGGAAAAATGAAACACAATTTATGTCACGGCACTTTTCCCATCTTCTGATTTTTATCTCTTTGACTGGCGCGGGCGTGTTTTAACGCCCGGACAATGCCAGCCGTTCCCTGGCGTTGGCGTGTTTTAACGCTTTGACAATCTCTTCCCTTCTTTGCTCTCTTGGCACTCATCAACCAAAGACATATATATGATAGTTTTTGTGCATGTTTGTAAAGAACCCTTGTAAACTTTGTGGGGATCTATATTACTGTCAGAACCCTCTGAGAAGGAAAAGGTCAGAAAATATTTCACATTCATTCAGTTTCACCATGGCTTCTTGCAGCAAGTGTCTTCGTGTTCCTACAGACCAGCTGGAAAATGTTGTGACCGATATTTGTTCTGATGATGATAGTGGCGATGAAATAATGATTCCTGAATTGGATGAAATTGGTAGTGACAATAATACAGTGATAGACAATGATCCACAAGACAGTAATCATGAACATTTACCTACCACGAGTGCGGTGCCTGACATGCCCATCTCATGAACGTACGGAGACATTGTACCCCCAATATTTCCATTTGCTAATAGTTTTGGGATCAAAATTGATATAACACATAAAATGCATCCCTTTTCATGGATTAAAATTTTTTCTGGATGACGACTTGGTAAATCACATCACAACTGAAACCAATCGCTATGCTCACCAGCACTTCAACACACATGAGTTAGCTCCTCACTCTCGAAAACACAATTACAATTATGTCACATCAGATGAAATCTGGACATACTTAGGAATTGTGTTCATGACAGGAATCGACAAACGCCCTGAAATTGAAGAATATTTGTCCACTAGGCCCCCATTTCACTTCCATGGTATGGACAAAACATGTCTTTGCAGTTGAATAGTTTCATTCTATTCAAAAAGAACACAACAAACGAAAAATACAAGAAGAGAAATTACAGATTCAAAGATTTTATATTGGACTGTGTAGAAAAATGACTGAACCAAACAAACAGGGTTGAGAGGGAGAAGAATCAAGGAATGAAGTGGATGACGACACTATTGCGTCAGACTCGAGTGCTGTCATGCCTCCGCCCTCGACCTTGAAAAGACCACCAGGGAAAGAGCCAGTAAATCGTCTAGAGGGTGGCTTGAAATTTCACAAAATGGTCCATGTTCCTCCCAGTAACAAGAAGAATGGTGCCCTGAGAAAGTGTCGCGTGTGTGCTAAGCACAAGATTAGAAAAGAAACAAGTATCATGTGTGCAGGCTGTGGTGTGGCTCTCTGCAAACTTTCATGTTTCAATGTTTATCACACGAAGAAAAACTAATAAAGAGGTATGGAAAGGCATTTATTGCATAAAATATTGTATTTTAATTAGTTCCTGAAAATTTCGTTTTTAAAAACCAATTTTTGTTGAAGTCGTTTAGGAAAAAGTAACTACATGCATTTTAGCGACACAAGGTTTAAAGGGCCTGCCAGGACAGGGGTGGGATTTAAATACCCTTCGCGCCAGTCAAAGAGTTATATTTAAACAAAAGTGATTTATATGCTGTCACATGGCGATAACAGATCACAGCACTCCGAGCTTCCTGTCCTGTGGGTATCAGGGGTTCTTTCCAAGGGGTAAAGAGGGCAGGGTATGAAGCTGATTACACACCTCCATTTAGTGCCAAGGTCTAGAATGGTGGAGCTATACCTCCACTCCCCCATATGCCTTCATGGCATAGTGTTTGATTAATTGTGCACAGGGGCAACTTTACTGGCATTAATATGCTATGTGTATGTTTTGTTACTTGTTAATTTCTACATAAATAGTTAAAATTAAATTCACGTAAAATATTTCATTTATCAGGTGAGGAATGCAGAGACACAAAACTGTTTGGATACACTGGGAAGAAAAGGAGGAGAGAATCTTGGTATGGGCACCTGCCATGGACTTGGAGGAAACCAGGTTTGTGTCTTATAACTGTATCTATCATTTTCCTCAGTACTGAAGCGTGAGCTTGCTTGCTGTTTTGTGTATGTTAAATGATACAAATTCCGTCCCAAGTGCAAACAGTATATTATATGTCCTTGATCTTGCTCTCCTATACACTACATGTTTCAGCCTCAGACGGCCATCATCAGGTGTATACACTCACGTTGCTGTTACACTGCACTTAGTTTAAAATTTAACATTTAAAAACACATTGTTCTTTTCCTTGTTATTATCAGCATCTACTTCGTTGATATCTGTCCGGGTTATAGATTATTTTACACACGTTAATTTTGATTTTCTTGTAGTAGCAATATAAAATCTTTAGTTCTAATTTTAAAATCCTTTAATATTTTTCCTCTAAATTTTAAAATTTAGAGGAGGAAAAAAAACATGTAGTGTACAGGAGAGCAAGATCAAGGACATATTGTCACGTATTGGGTGTATAACGCGACAAATAACTTCACGCCTGTATTTGATATAGCGAATTTTATTTCACATTCACACTTACAATCACCCAAATTACAGATTCACAATTACTGCTATCTGCAGTATCACAAATACTACACTCCAAATGCCAGAATACAACTGACTGGTTGCTGGCTAACTCGGAACTAACTCGGAGGTAGCTCGAGGACTAACTGTTGATAACACATTCACTCGACTGCTGCGTAACTCGGCGGCTGTCACATTACAACTCGACTCGGCGACTGTTATGTTACAACTAACTCGCAGCCGCTGTGCAGCTCACTTATATAGCCGCAGTGCTTGCCTGTTGCGTAATGAGTGCCACGTCATCCTGTTACGTCACCGCTGTTGACTCGCATTGCATAGCTACCAGGTTGCGGGGGCTCGGCTAAGTTCGGCTCCGCTCGTGCCGTCACCGCGGTGAGAGTGGTGGGGTGATGACTCGGCTATTACGTGAGCGCTACGTTACCGCCACGTGCCGCTGGGGAGGTAGGGGTCCTTCGTTGCGCAACATGTCACAATATAATATATTGTTTGCACTTGGGACGGAATTTGTATTATTTAACGTATAGAGTGCAACAGGATGCTTAAATATAATATTGTTTTGTGTATTGTTGTGCAGGTGTTTGCCTATACAAAACGTCAGCAAATAATGTCTGATGATAATTGTCTTGATGCATCAAGCCCAGAGGGACCAGTGAAGCTTGTGAGGTGTCATGGTATGGGTGGAAATCAGGCATGGACGTACAACACACAGGTATTTGTCTTACCACTGCATTTTTCTGTATTTGAGTGCTGGTGTGACAGGACAGCTAGATATAATACAGAGAACAGTGATGATGATTATACAGGGCCAAACATTTGGATAACACACACAAATCTGTGTGGGTTAAGGTAGTTTAGAGGATTTCAGCATGCTGATTTGCCTGAAAACTGACTGCACATACAGTTGGTGTCAAATCATGATATGGTGCCTTCATCAGTTTGGTCTCACCCTCATGCATGATTGCTTTAAGTGATTCATTAATTGAGATCTCAAGTGGCTGCAGTTGGCTACTGAGGCCTGCTGAGATCAGAGTTAATTGTGTGTTTAATTCTTTAAGTGTGTTTTTTTGTTACATCTGGTATATGGTCACACTAACAGGCCGGGCTTTCTCAATAGGCCACCTGGACGTTTTGCCCATGCAGTCTCTAGCCATAGCTTCATTCCATTTTCATCCATCCATCAGTTAGAATGAACATGTATAAAAATTCCTCACAGAATTTTGCATTTGGGCATCATTTTTTTTTTGTATGAATATTAACAATGGAAGTAGTTTTGTGCCCTCAATACAACATGCAAAAATGACAGTGTAGTATGTTTTTTGATGGCCAGAAGTTTTAATTGTGATCACTTTAGCACCTTAGTGTCCACAGTCCTGTTCAACAGAACATACTGTAGAGAAACTTCATCCATGTTGCTAGTCTGCTCAAGTTCAAAACATGATTTATTCCTTGCAGCAGTCACAAATTTTTGAAAGCTGAAAATTTTGGTTTTGTATGTGATAACTTTGTGCTGTCCTACTTCCATGTACACATGCTTAGACCATGCAGCGTCACTGTAGCGCAAAGAAGTTTTCAAAGAAAAACCAGTGACACTATGTGTGACCGCCCACCTCCTGCTTCAGATATTTTCATAGACACAGAATATACTTGGTGAAGAGTACAGTTCATGAAGCTGCTTGATACACAGTTTTCTCCAACCTTGTCTCATTTCATTTCTCTTTGGTCCAAATATTCTCAGTCTCCTGTTCTCAAATACCCTCAGTCTATGTTCCTCTAATGTGAGAGACCAAGTCTCAAGCACATACAGAATCACAGCAAAATTATAGCTTTGTATATTGTAATGTTCATGTTTTCAGACAGCAGACAAGAAGATAAAAGATTCTGGGCTGCATAGTAACAAGCATTACTCAAATTCAGTCTCATTTCCTGCACACACAAATTTTCGTTTGTTACTGTCATTACCAAATATTTGAACTGAGCCACATTTTCAAAGGATCTGTTAGCTGTCTTTATACAATGATTTTGCCCTGCATTCTGTTGATGAGACAGCAACATATACTTAGTTAGCTAGTCCTGGAGCTATCTCTGGAGATAGGGGCTAGCTCTATCTATTGGACCCAACTGAGTAGGTTTTACCTGAGGATGGGGACAGAATCCAGACTCTGAAACGTTGTGTTGTTAAAAAGAAACAGGACGGTTTTTATAAAGTAGACAAAACGATGGATAATGTCCAAAAACATAATACTTGTAGCAGTATACCATTGTCACAAACTTTTAGATCTTATTTGTGCCTTTTATTTGCTATGGCATGGGAGAAACACTTATTTTAAGAAGTCAATGGAAATGTATTAGACTAAAATCACTTCTGTGTGTTTGCAGGATCGCACCATCAAACATATTAATACTGGCCAGTGCCTCCAAAAACCAGATATCCGAGACATATCACAACCATTACTTAGAAGTTGTGACCACAGTCTTGGACAGCAGTGGATCATGCAGAGCAAGTTTATATGGCAGGCCAGTTAGTTGCCTTAACATTGTCAAGTTGTGCTGCTGCTCCAAGATAGCTTCCAGCCAGGTTTCACCATAACGATCAGAAGCATATCACATTCAGTTCAAGGGAGATCAAGGCGTTGTCTTGATCTTATTAGGGCTGTGGTAAATTATGTTTGTGTGGCAGGAGTGGAAATTGTTAGAACTCAGCTTCTTATGAGTAGAATTATTATATACAGTATATAAATTGTTAACAAATTAGGGATTGGGGGGAAAACTGGTTTCCTTTTTTTTTTCTTCTTCCTCTTTTTTTACCTGTTAATTGTTGAGACATTGCTTTGTTAATCATAATGGTTTGATACATTCTTTATTGGCACAAGCTTGTGGTCAATTTAAAATGGAACTGTACTTAAGGAGGAGCTATTTCTAAACTGTATGGAAGAAAAATTCATAGTATGATATTGTTTTGATAATACACAATTTGCTTTTCAATATGTGTTTATCTGAGTTTGTAGAGCTAACTTATTTACATATAAAGTTAAGTGAACCCAGGCTTGCAATTAAATCAATTTTCTGCCATGTGACTCTGAAAGATTGAAACTGAATCTTATAGAGCTTCAGGTGATATTATATAAAGACTTGTACTTTGTCACTGGTAGTACAAATTGAACATGGCTGTAATTGTATGTAGGGTTTGAGGTTCTCTCAGCAGTGGCTATGAAGAGTACTATCTTCTGGGATGTAACACCATATACGTCATGGAAAGCCAACTGAAGTTTTGGAGGAACTTGAAGTTGGAGGCAGTATGTTGCTCCAAAACATGAGTTGGCTTTCAGTGGACTACTTGGCATTATAATCCAGAAGATAGTACTCTTCATGGCTGTAATGATTAAATTTCACACTGAACAGTGCCACCTAAGTTGGTTTTTCTCAATCAATAAATGTAGAATGGTTAGCAATATTTAATAACTATTTTTTAAGAAAGCCAACTTAACTGAAACTAAATTTCATAATATTATTTTATTATTGCCATTATTAGTGATAGTAGCAGTAATAATACATTATGCAATATGCTACAATAGGAGAATAGAAGCATAGTTAGTTGGAACTTTGGCAGAACAGTGTGTTACTTGTTCTTTCCATGTGAAATCTCAGTATTTGGATTCTGTAGTGCTGACATTTGTACTCAGGGTTTAAGCATTTCCCTTGCTAGAAGCGTTGTGTGTGATAACAGTATTACACTCAAAATAGATTACTGCATAGAATTTTAAGCAGTATTTTTTTATAATCTTAAAGTACATTTTTGTATTAAAAGTACAATTTGTACATTGTTTTCAAATTTGTTGTGACATATTTACAACCCCCCCCCTTTTAACAGCTTAAACCCTGTGTATTTGCAGAAACTATACAGCAGTATTATTGCATTTTTCCCTCAGAATAATTTTATTTAGCATTAAATTGATTAATGTCCATTTTACACCCATCCAGTTTCTATATAGACCACAGCTTTCACATTCCAAGTATCAGTTTTTTAAAATATTTTATTGACTGGTATGGTGTTAGGGCCTAATATTTAATTTATTTTTTTAAAGCACAGTGTGTATGTGTATATATATTGTGTTTTGTTTTCTGTACATTCCACCATTTGTTGCTTCATATGTTATTGCTGTTTTCTGCTTATGGAAAATTAACAGAATATACACAGGTATATTGTTGCAGTTGACCATAGTTCCCAGTTGCTCCTGTACAGTGTCAGTATTAACCTTTATCATCCAGAAATTGGAATTCTAAATCTCCCACTCTTACAGGGCCAGTGACCATATTTTAACCCATGGGTAATGGTACACAGCTAGTACTGGAAAAATGCAATATTTGTCTGTCTGGACCAGATACATGCGCTGTCACCATAATATGATGCATGGCTGCTAAATTTTCATCTTCCTTTGACATTTTCACGTTTATATGGGTTGTCCAGTAACAGAGCCTTTCTATTAACTGTCTGTCTTCTCAAAGCATCCCCTCAAGCTTCTTCCATGTTCTTCCTTCATTCTATGGGACATCCTTCATGGTCATTCCCATCATGATGTCAGTCTTCCTATTGGGCGTTTTCCTTTCAGTTTTAATTTACATGAGTTGTGACGACAATATGATGAGATAGTGTGTCTGTGTTTAATTAAGCGCCATGTCATGCTGGGGTCTCCTTCCTTGGGTTTGAAGTGACCACTAACCTTCATCAGATACAAAATTTAAGGATGCAGCTATAATTGCACTCCCCATCATGGTAGGGTGCAAACAGAAGTTTTAATTCAAAACCCATACAGACGCCAAAGTACCCTGACCCTTCATATTCTTAAGTTAATCGTCACCATAGACAGTAAGTTAATGCTGTTTATTCTGAGAAGCATATAGTGTCCATAATGCATTCTATGGGCAAATACAGTTTTTAACATTAAAGCAGGGGTACCACTGTGCTTTAAGGAACTAACCTTTCAGTTTTATTCACTCAAGCCTAGAGTTCAAGTCATGAACATTGTGTTCCTATGTTACATTGCTCTAAGTCGGAAGTGTGGAGCAGCCTTGAAGACTAAAGTCAACAGAATTAATGCAACTAGAACTCCACAGCTGAAAAGAGGACAGACATACTGAGTCAGTCTTCTTCCCAGGCAGAGCAAAAATTTTTCCAGAATGTGCAGAGTGCAACATAAGACATCAACGGCACACATATTCCACTGTACTGGTGCCATGACAGAAGGACTTGGCTTCAAACCCACACATGGTGCTCACACTTAGGACAGGTTATACCTGTGAAAATAACTCAGTTTCCATGGCTCTGTGCAGAAAAATTGTTTCTAAAAGTTCATCTATGTAAGCTCCATGGGTTAGTTGAAAACACTGTGGGATAAGTAAAAAGAAATATTTCCAGACTTCTTTTCGTCGTAGGCCACATTTCTTGAAATTGCAGATGTTATGTCATAAAAAATGTATTTAAAGAATCTGACATAAAAGAAAAAAGTTTTTATGTGGGTCACATAAGTGAATGAGGCTGTGAAAGTGTACAGTGTATGCTTAATGGGTGCATTCCACAGGAATTAGAAATGACTTGCTAACATCAGTGCTCTTCAAATTACTTTTAAGGAAAGAAAATGTAGCTAATGTGAGAAAATGGGGGGTTGGTACTCTGTAATTCCAGATCTGTCATATTTTAGATAAACTGAGTAATTAAGACTACAGTGAACAATTTCCTTGTAACAGACACTAAATTCACACACAGCTGTTCACTGTTAGTTGATACTTATTCAAATTGGTGAAATGTCAGAACTGTATACTGAGTGAATAATCAGTCAGTATTAAGCCTTCACCATTCACTGTGTATGCAGGCACACGCAGACTAAAATTAAATGTATATAATTTATTTAATGTATACTTAAAAGTCATACTGTAATAGAGCAGTACATTAAAAGAATAAAATGAATATGTTTTTAATGGAGTCTAAACCAAGATTTTTTAATTGCAGTCTATAGCTGAAACACACTAAGCATTTGTTTTCCTGTACATTGACTTATTATGGTTGAGAATAAAGGGCTTTGGCAGCATGATCAGTTATATTTTAATTAAATATATATTTATATGCATATACACCTATTATTTCAGGTGAGAGGAAGCTTTATTTAAAGATTATTGAGAATAAGATATCTAATAATCTTTGGGTATGTTCAGAAAACCACTGTTGATTATTTGGGAGACCACTGTTGAATGCTGAATACACAAGTTAAGAAACATACACATAGCACCCATTTCATATAATTATATTGAAAATCTTTTGATTTATGGAAGGAAGTACTTTAAACATGAATTGTGAGTTTCATTTTCTTAACATTTGCTCAAAACATTGTTTGCTCCAGTGAATAGGGAGATATACACAGGAACACATATAGGTGTCTGTTATTCTCATCCAGTTTTAACCAAAATTGCAGTATATTGACAGACTATTAAAATTCCAATATCAAATCTCATGAAAATCCATTCAGAGAGTTGTTGCATGCACACAGATGAAAGAAAATTAATACAGTGAAACTTCACTTATACTCTCCTAGACTTTATGAATTGTAAATTATCACACTTTTTGTATAGTCCTGGCCAAATGCCCATAACAGCATTAAATTTTAACCAGTGTTACATTTCTGTAACTTTGCATTTCATTTCTTTAGTCTTTACCACAAAAATGTACATGAGTTTATGTGTTATTGTTCAGTTCTCAGGAATTTTTATTTGAGGCAACAGACTTCCTTCCCTCTTAGCAGTTGTAAATTGATTGGTATAAAATTATTTACTGTTAGTTGACTGATGCATGGCGGCAATTGATTGCACATGCACCATGTTACTTCTTCAAGGCCTAGGACACCACAATTCAAAGAGCTCATTTGCATTAGGCCAGCTTTAATCCTGTTATATCTCAGTATAACTGTAACTTAACAAGAGCAGTCTGTCGTTCAGATGTCTTTGATATGTGTGCCAGAAATTGACCATTGCAACTTGAATGAATGTATCAGGGGTGGGCCATAATAATCCAGCCCTTTCACCATGACCTTCAATGATCTGTTGTGCATCTCCTTTTGGTTAACCCTTTATTAATCCTACACTTTGAATTAAATGTAGGACTTTGCTTAGGGGGTGTCATAGTAGTCACTTGGTTCATAAAGAACTGGCCTAGGTGACTTCATGAGTGAAACATTCAACAGAAATGCACCCAGGTTAAATTATGAGTTTTCCTGTGCCCATGTGACTTCACTTCATAAAGACTGATGTTTTTGTGGAATAAGATGAAATTCGTAGCAAGAGGGTGAAATATGGATAAAAATGGAAATCGTTTATAAGAGGTGATAAAATAAATAATTTAGCACAAGTTCATGCAGATGTTGGAAATCATGTAGAAATGTTAGCATGGTTGAGACTTTCAGTGCTCAAACTAATCGCTGTTAAGTGTGAAGAAATTGCAAGATGGTGTGTCCAGTGTGGACTGTTTGTACAAGCAGTGCAGATTGTTGAAACTTTCACCCATGGAGGAACTTGAACGTGTACTTGCTGTCTGGTCCAAGCAAAGACATAAGAATAATGCTTCCACAGATAGCACCCACTTCAAAGATCAGGCCTTGCACATTGCTGTTTGGGAATCTCAGACTTTTCAGTTTCAGCAATTGAATCAGCAGTATTAATAAGAGACTCAACGTTCACAGAACCCTTTTGGGTGAAAGCAAGTGGCGATTCAAAACTTCAGAAGACTAGAGAAATTACAAACTGTTGCAAGCAGTTGACATTTATGACCTCTGTATCTGGCCTAGAAAACCGAAAATAACAGCTGCAGGGATTCGTTGCACCGACCACACGACACCCTCTATCTGCTAAAGTTGGCACTAACTTTGCCGCAGGTGGCAGTCGCTTAGTCAGTATAGTTCGCTTGCGGATTACAGGCTACGGAGTTTGTTTTTGTTTTGAAATGCTAAAATCAGCATTCATGTAATGTTGTAGACATGCCATTTTGTCTCCACAGATACAGAAAGTTATTTCATACTTAGGGAATTTCTGAAAGGAGGACGTATGAAACAATAAAACAAGTGTTTAAAATGGCAGGTAATATAAATGAAATGACAGGAAATGACCCATCAACCACGACCTAAAGACAGACTGAAAACACATGGAGGGGGTTCTTTCACAGGGCCCCTGAAACTCGGACCTAGAAACAAGAATGGGACTTATTTGGGATTCTATTTCAGCAATTATCCTGGCTTATAAGTGCATATACAGGACTTCAACCCCAGTTTGAAGAAGATTAAGCACCTCAGGTTTTAGTACACATACACTCGATCAGCTTTTCTCAGTTTCAGTTTCTACTACCAGGGTTTACCACGAGCTTGGCCAGTCCCGTATTTGTACATTATGCGGAAATAGGTGAATGAAGTATCATGTAGGATCCTGAAGACAGAACACAGTAACTAAGGTCACAGGACTTTAATGATGGGCTGCGCCATAGCTCAAGCGGTTAGTCACTGGCTTCCCCACCACAGCCGCCCGGGTTCGATCCCGGGTCTGTTCAAGTGGGATTTGTGGTGAACAAAGTGGTGCTGGGGCAGGTTGTCTTCGCGTACTTCGGTTTCCCCTGTCAATCTTCATTAAACCAATTGCTCCACAATCACCCTCACCTATCATCTGGGCCTGGTACAATAGGCCAGAAGTGGCCACAGTACAAGGGACTGGTCCCACCGCCCTAGCATTAAAAAAAAAAGGTCACAGGACAATGGTGAAGAGAGGGCGCTTTGCTTTGCAACCCAGTATGTAAATCACACATTCTCTATACACAATGTGTTTGCTCCTAATATATGTTTCATTCATGACTGAAGTTTATGGAGTCTCTAAATTACTGGAACCATCGGAACCACATTCAGCGGTGATGATGTTCATAAGAGATCCCCGAAATGTAGGTAACCTTGCATGTTAGCAACGAGTAGAAGACAAAGAGTAATCGAAGTTGGATTGTAGATATGAACTGACTATGGTTGTGATGTGTACTGGAAGGGGGGGGGGCTTGGGATTTACAAACTTCCGTTTCCTGTGAAGAGAGTTTGGGTAGTGCGAGAAAATAATGGTGGGTGATTTGTTATATCCCTAATCCTTACCATCGTGAACTCTGAATTCGTCGGTATTTCGTATATTAATGATGATTCATTGTTAACTTTTTGTCGTGGTTGTTTGCGGATTTATTAGTTGTATTTTGTTACACATAACCAAAAACGAGTCGTCTTACTTAGGACGGTGCAGTGTAACAATACATTCTGTCGTGCAGTTTAAGTAAATTAGGATAATTTAGTTAAGTTTCACATAATTCTGTTTAACTGGATACTTATTAAGTTCCTGTGGGATGTCAGTGCATATGAATCTAATTTAGTTTACCATTTTTAAGTTGCACAGCATGTATGTAGAAGGGTGTCAGTCACGGTTGTCGGTATTTCTGTTATGTGTACTTACTCACACTTCACAGAAGATAGCCGCCTTTACAGTATTCATCAGTGTAATTTGGTGTGGAGATGTAAATGTTTAGGAAAGTAGTTCAGTTCGAGATGTGATTTATAATGTTCAATTTATGTTTGTGTCTAAATGTATGGCAGGATACATACTTATGCATGTGATTAATTTAAAATAACACTTATTTCCAGGCAAAGAGAACTAAGAAGGTTGGAATCACCGGTAAATATGGAACCCGGTATGGTGCCTCATTGCGAAAAATGGTTAAAAAGATGGAAATAACCCAGCATTCCAAGTACACGTGCACATTTTGTGGGAAGGTATATTGAAGAAAGTCATTAAAGAGTATGATAAAAGAATTAAAAGACTGCTTTCAAGCAAATTCCCATATTCTTGAGGTCATCAGATTTTTTTTCAATTGACCTAACCCTTCTGCCCGTACTATGGCCCTGGGGTTCACTCAACGTCTGACAGAAATGAGTGCCAGGAATTAAATAAATAATTTTTCTGTGGAGTAAAGCACAGCCGGCGCATAAGGCTGACAACCTTACTGCCATCTTTGAGCCGATTGTCTAGATAATGTAGGACCCTCAACGTCTCGCAACCCTGTGGGCCTTCATGGCCTATTACAGGGAAAGCTTTACTTTTTTTTACTTTTATGTATAACAGTAATTTAATTACTGCGTGAAATTTAATTAAATTTACATTTTTTGTTGAGTGACATACAGTAACAGTTTTTATACAGTGCAGACTGTAAGAATGTTGTTAGCTCTGTCATACACTAGTGCTATATAATGTAGCATATGAGTATGAAAAATATATGATGTAAATTTGTGCTTAATTAAACTCCATTCCATTAAGATGTATGGAGAAGTGAAGGCATATCTCCATTCATTTGTAACCTCAGCACTAGATATATATGAATAGTGAGCTTCATGCCCTGACCACCTTTTTCGGGGATACAGCCCTTGGTACCCATTGAATAGGAGGCTTGTGGGCCTCAAGAGCTGGTGTAGAGACAGTGGAGAAGAGAGAAAATCTGTTGCTGTTGGCTGTCAGCCTGTAGCCCATTGCTGTACTAATCAGGCTATCCCAGCTCCATTATACAGTAGCCAATCTACTTTGTTTGTAGTTTATTTAACTAACTGGCTCAGATTTATAGTGTCAGCAGTTAATTACAACTTGCTAATCTTTCATAGGATGCCATGAAACGTACCTGTGTTGGCATCTGGGCATGCAAGAGGTGTAAGCGTACCGTGGCTGGTGGTGCATGGGTGTACAGCACAACAGCAGCGGCGTCTGTGAGGTCAGCTGTACGGCGTCTTCGTGAAGTCAAGGAACAATAACCTTATTGTAAAATAATAAATAAAAAGTACCTATTTATTACTGTGTTTTTTCTTCTTTTCTGTACTTGTGAGAATTGCGTGTTTAATTTGCAGTGATCATGAGTATCATTGGAGGCTGCTGGTTTTATTATTATAATCTGAACCACATGCATGTGTGTGTAACATTTCATATAGAATGACTGATGGAGTGAGGTTGAAATAGTGGTCGTATGTCTTGCATAATTTCCTATTCATGTGGTCTTAGCAAGAAAAAGTATGAACATATAAAGTAGCTCCAAATTGTTTGTAAAATTGCGTGCATGATAACATGGACTGTGGACTTCAAATTAGTAGAGGTTTGAATCATAATATTTTCTAAAGGAACGTGCTGTGTACTTGACTTTCAAGCTTTGATACATGTGTCTGGCAAGATATGGAAGGTAGGAATGTTAACACATTGCGGACCGGTTGTTTAAATATTTAACATCACCCTGGGGACCGCTGTTTTTAAGCCTAGCATCCTAACTTGTGCACTCTTCACTTTAAAAATTAATATAAAATCTAATTAATTTTATGAACTAAAATTTTTGGAGAACACTTACCAGAGCTCCTAGAAGTGCTTGTGCGTGTGATATCTCTGGAAACATTCCCCTTTGTGAAGAGGCATCACGCAGAAGTTGCAGATGTATGCAATCTTCTTGTGGATTGCGCGCACACGGCACTGCCTAGAAGGGTACTTCTTGCAATGTTCACTCTTCACAATTCTCACGAGGGTATGTTTCCGCATATAGAGATAGATACAGATAGTATCTGTTAGTCTCCTGACGTAACAGGTCAAAGAAACTATCTCCAAAAAACAGTGATGCAACTTCAGACACATCTGTAGGGTCTGATGGCATCTGCTTCACCCCCAGATCACCAGTAAACCTACCCAAAGTGGGGGTTTTGTCCACTTTATCCCATGTGGCTGTCCTGGTACTCGCACTTTCACCGGACACAATATTTTGGGGGGGCCCTGTCACTGCCACTTTCACTGAGGCTGGCCTCACTATCAGAAGACGAAGCAGTTGGCAAATCTGATAGCTCATCGGAGAACAAATCTAATATTTCTTGTTCTCCGAAAGAACGCTTCGCCTGCAACTGCTTTCATCTCTGACCCATGTTGCACTGCTAACTTCCTGGTTCATACTTGGAAGCTTGGACTCGAACAAAGGCTTTTTTCTTTAGGGTGTGACAGGTCATGAGCGTGATCATGTTACTGGCTAAGCTAGCAAACATTCCCGAGGTCAACTACACAGTAGTTATGATGCAACGTGGCAACATAACGCGTCAGAAAAGCGCCAATTGGCCCACCCGGTCTGCAATGCTATAGGAACGTAGAGGGCCAATTGGCCCCTCCGGTCCTGAATGTGTTAATGTTATCTTTGGAATAGCTGTTAATGCACTTCTTAGGGAATGGGGTTGTATACTTCCTACTGGAAAGAAGAGGTTAGCACATAGTCATGAACACACGCAAACTGAGAGTTAAGAATGCTTTTTCTACTTTAAATTAATTCCACAGTTCTCATCATGTTAGTGGTATTTGTGCCCATCTGTCATTGTGCTAGTTACTGGATGTTGGTGTGAAACTGCAGCTTGGAAACACTGGGTGGGAGGTAATGTGGCTGTCAACACAGCAAGCTGACAAACAGCTGATTGGTTAACTTAAACTAACCTCTCATGATCCCCAATTATTCCATCCATATATGAAGTTAATGGATAAAATGAGTAGTCAGCCGTCTTGTAAATATGTACAATAATAGACTCTGCAGTGCTGAAGCAGTTTTTTCTTATTCCAGACAATTATTAAGTTTGTATTCTCACTTCTCGGCGTCTTGTGCAACTTCAGTATATTAATATTCAGACTTCAACATACAGCACTACATGTTTTAGCCCGACTAGCCATCATTAGGTGTATAAGATGTTGGATTAAAGGAACCTGCCGCTCTGCTTACATTTTGTTGTAAAATTCTTCTAAAATATTAGATTTTACTCTTATTACTTTATTTGTATGCATGTGTCTGCAGTATGTAGTTGGTTACATTAACCATGTAAAATACAGGACACAAATAAGGAACCATAACTGATACAGTGGACATTATAAGGACACATGGAAAAATAACTTGCAAATAAATGTCTCAAACATTGACACACATCAACCAATATTCAGAGGACTGCAGGAAATTAACACCAGTTAGCAGCACGCACCCTACATCCTATTTAAAAACAGAGCCAACCAATACATCGACGAAACATAAGTAACATCACAACTGCAGAGACAGAACAACATAAATATATGTAAATTATATATCTTGTAAATAACACACTAATATAACCTATTACATGTTACAGATACACCAGAAACATGTGTACAAATAAAGTAACAATGACATGATAATTTAAAAATAACCAAAAATAAATATTTTAGAAGCATTTTACATAGAAATGAAAAGCAGAGTAGCAGGTTACTTTAATCCAGCATCTTATACACCTGATGATGGCCCATTAGATTGAAACATGTAGTGTTGTAGAATGAGAAGAGATAAGAGATGTTGAAGTGTGAATATGGTAGCATGCGAACCTTTTGCTAAGTAATGACTCTGTAAACAGTGTCCACTACTAGGCAACAACTTCTGAATAAGCAAATATATGGCAGGTGTTGCTGAGTAACAACTTCACAAACATGTTCCCACAGCAGTGATTGAAGTACATCAAAGAGGAGTGGTGTTTTCTACATGGTCCATGCCTAGATGTTATAAGCAACACAATTTGTGGAGTTCAGTTCAGTTGAGTGAAGTGAAGAGTTGGTTGGTGAGTCAGGCAGAGAACTGAAGTTCAGTCCTTGTGAGCTGTTACTGTTAGAAGCCTATAGCTCAGGCATGGGGTTATTCCAGGAATCCAGAGTAAGCAGAACATCTGGCATTTTAAGTAACTGCAAGGCAATGACTGGTGAAGACAGTTGACTGGAAAGACTTTGTGTGTGATGTAGTGAACTGCAGAATTTGTGAATCAGTGATAGTGCTATAGTTACCTGTAGTTACAAGTTATGTGTATAAGTGTTTGATAAATCCAATAACCAATCCATACCCCATCAATAGTCACTCATACATGTGACAACATTAATATATATCGATCGAGTTGCACAAAGATGGCTAGGAGTGAGAAGACAAAGTTGGAATACACAGTGCTGTAGGATAATATTAGAATTATTAAGTTCACAACACACAAAACTAGAATGTTAGCCTTATATTCTTATCCTTGAAACTTGCGCTGTTTCTCAGTTCGCATTTGGCACTTGCTGAGCACATGGAACCATGATTCTCTCCACCAACTAAGTACAGTACTTTGCAACAATGAACCAAAAGGAGTACACCCAAGCAAACCATCAGATGCTGGCACCACCATGCAGGAAACATCTGAAATACATATTGTATTGTTGGTGAGATACCATGAGACAATATAGATGAAATGAAGGAAACAACAGTAGAAGAGCAAGATGCAAGTAATCATTGCAGTACATGTAGTTTTTTTTTTTTTTTTTTTTTTTNTTAAAACTCTGGCATGTTCCAGTTGCTCAGCATAAATTGAGGTGATCTTTTTTTATGGAAATATGAGTTTTTAAAATAATTCCAATACTTTTCTTTGAATAATTGTTAAATTATTTAAAAATATTGAGTAAACACAGTTGGATTTAAGGTTCTCTGAGCAGTGACTGAACAGTACAGTCTTCTGGGCTCAGCTTGCTGACTGCTTAGATTACTCTTCAAGCCTGAAGGCAGAAGTGATATGTTATTTTGAAATGTCAGGACCTTTCCAAACTACATGGTGTTACAACCAGAAGCCTACGATGCAACTTGGAGGAGGGAGCTAAAAGCTATTGGCACTGCGTTTGATCATTTGCTATATCAGCCAATTCTACACTTGAATAAGTCATAAGAGATGCTCAAAGTCGACCAGAGATGGTAAGTATGTCACCATAGTCACATGTTATGAACAAAAGTTTTGGGACCTGCTGCTTTAAGTAGTTCTTGAGTTTGGGAAATTGGAAGTAGTCCTCATGAACTGTGTTAGGATAATACAGTGATATGACACTTAGATGGAAGTCCTTTGCTCCTGATTTGCTGTGTACTGGCATATTGTCATGATGAGGAATTCACTGACTGACCCAACTGTTGGGTCTTTTTCTTCACAGTGCATTTCCCAGATGTCAGAGAACTTGCAGACAGAAAGTGTGCTTCCTGGACTTGCCTTCAAGCTCAATTTTGAATAAATTGAAAATTAAGAGAGGACAAGTTGCTGCTAAGAAGGGAACACACATCACAAGACACGGTTTACAAAGAATATGAGAAAAACGACCCCCATAGTGGAAGAACCACACACAAGTTTTAATTATGACACATAAGATGAATACTCTTAACAAGTTTTAGTGTGTGTAAATTCATTATAGTTGACAAATACACACTTTTTAAATAATTTTATAAAGGCAAGCAATGAAATAGATTAGCGTAATTAGGGCACCTGATGATGGCACTATGTTGCCGAAACATGTTGTGAAGTAACAGGTGAAATTGAGTGCACTACAAGACGGCAACTGTATACAAATCATGGATGAAAATCAGTGCAACAGGACGCTAAAATACGACATTACAGGAAGCCATAAAGTAAAAAAAACAGACTAGAAATAATAGCGTACATCACACCGATGAGTTCATAGTGACACAACCATCTCATAGGAGAACAAAATTGGAATGTAATAATGTCCATAGACCACCTCATACAATTACATCATATTTGCAACATAATATTACAACACAATATTTAAGTGTATTTTATAATTATAAACTTTTGCAATTTATTTTATAAGTTTAAAATTATTGTTATATTTTTATACTATTGTATGAACATCTCTATATACTAGTTAACATAAAGCTTTATTCTAGACCATTCATTCATTCATCAGTAATCTGTCAGATGACAGGTCCACAGTCTCTTCCAAAACAGTTCCTCCACTTAATGCAATCT